GAGTTGGTCGAGCGCCTCTCCTACCGAAGCTTCCTCCAGAACGATCGCTTCCAATCGAGACGCGAGTAGTAGCTTTTTATCCTCCTCCAAGAGATCCACCACCGCGACCTTCAACGAATTTGTCACCACGCCTGCCACCACGTCCGTCAAGGAGACGCGAGAATCAACGGGGAAAATCCGCCCTCAAATCAAACTGACCACCAACTACACTAGCCTCGCCGAGGTGAGTAAACGCACACGTTTACCTTTCCTTTCCCGATTCGACCGAACGTCTCGCGATTAAACGTTAGATGTAGGATTATCGGAACACTGTAATACACTGTAATACACTCGGGCAAGATTCTCTAGCTAGAATCTCGACGAGCCTCTCTGAGCGACAAAAGTGCGAGTGTGAATAGCAGAGTGACTTTAGGCGGCCGCTAAAACGGAAGAGGAATCAATCAGCGATTGGAACAATCTCGTTTCCGACGAGACTGCGAAAGTGTGCGGCTTGAATGACAACGACTATTTCGTTTCATTTTTACAAATACCTCGTCGGTACAGAGTGACATTCGCGTAACTAACTTGATGCACGCACCCGACGTGTGATCATTTTTCAATCATGCGCCTAGTGAAAAATTTAATTACCACCCTGTATGTCATTTAGTTGATTAACTTACTCGAGTAAATAACCGTCGTTCAGTGCAAACTTCGCTTCATTTCGCTTCTCCCCAATCAAGATTGGATTACTCCCAAGAAGATATCTTTCGAAGAAGAATTCACATTCCCTACCTCGTTTCGAGAATTTGCTCGCATTTTCCTTTTTCATCCCTGACAGCTACTGATATATCCGGTAATTATTTTAATACACGTCACGTTGCACTTGGAAAATGATCATCCATGAAACTCGTACGTGCATGCGTCACGAATTACAGTTACTAACGTGTAACAACGTCGATGCGAAAGATCGGATCGGATCGGATGTAAACCGTAACGATTACACTTTATTATACAGCAAATGGTTGCGACGATTGCTAACGTTCTACGAATAAAAGAAGGAAATGGCCAAAAAAAAAAAAAAAAAAAAAAAAA